AGTCCTCTGGCCTCCCATCACCTATGGGGGTCAGAGCGCACTCGACCAGAAGTATGGTGGCCTCCAAGGGTTTCAACTTGTGTGTGGCCTTGCAGGACATTTGTGCTGCGGCGGGCTGGTCCTCTCCGCACACTTTTGTCCATTTTTACAACCTAGACCTGGCATCTACCCCAGGTTCCCAAGTTCTCTCTTCGTGATGTGCTCGCAAGATACACACACAGGCAGGGACTTGGTAGTATGGCGCAGTGGGTATTCTCGTTCCCAAAGTGACTTCGACGCAGCTCGAGTTCCTGAAGGGGAACGTCTCTAGGTTACGTATGTAACCATGGTTCCCCGAGGGAACGAGACGCTGCGTCTCTTTGCCATACTCCCTGCATCCCTCCAGGCACTACTTCATCGAAGCTGGTTTGTGCTCTGCCGGATGCGCTTTTATACTTTCTGGTGCTTACGTCACCCCACTCGTGATGCCTCGCTACTCCATTGGACTGATTTGATACGTGCTTCAGAACACGGTCACGCAAGGGCATTCCCAAAGCGACTTCGCAAAGCGACTTCGACGCAGCGTCTCGTTCCTTCGGGGAACCATGGTTACATACGTAACCTAGAGACGTTTTCTCTGTGTCACTCACTCACGGTGGGCTCCAAGAAATGTCCACTTAGAAGGTGAGGAAGTATTTTGACTTAGAATAAAACAGAAAAGTTTTGTGTAGTCTACATAATGTCAAATTGCTGCATACCATTTAAGCTTGCTTATAGGTTTTTTTATACTACCAGTTATGAGGGACAATACCAGAATGACATTTTTGACCAGTTTAAAGGTTAAACATTATAAATGTATCTTACTTGCTTAAAATAGGCTATTGAGTTTCTACTTATTGGTACTGCACTGCCTATTGATTCAGCTGCTTTTAATATACAGTATATGTATTTGCTAACGTTGATTAAATGAACACTTACATTTATGTACAATGATCATAATGCAAGAGAAGCACATTGCATATATGACCTACTTCTCAGCAGCATTCGGTATGGAGTTTGACTGTTGGATTCATAGATTAAGGCCCAATCACATTTCTACCCCTTATTCCTTCCCCTTTCCCCTAACCTTCTCTTTTGCACATTCACGTGAAGGGGTAGGGGTGTCTCGATTCTCTTTTGGTTGGAGGGGTAGGGGGAAGGGCCAGGTAGCCCTTCAAACAAAGATTTTTCGAGACCCCGCTTCAGACTAATTATGTCAGCATACACTGTCTACAGTGGCAACATGGCTGCCCGAGCGAACAAGGAGAACCATAAATGTAAGCATTTTTGGCATTAATAAGAACATTAAAAAATAAAAATTATATTTTTTTATTAGGTGAAGGGGTATAAAATAGAATTGGGATTGGGCCTAAATAGGCTATTTCAAATGGATCGCTTATACAGAAAGTTTTTTTGACTCTCTTTTGGGGGTTTGTTTGAGTAGTTGACTAGTTGGTTACAAAATTTCCATTTAAACGTTAATGTTCACAACTAATAACAGCTGCTAGTACTTAGACAAGACATTGTCGATGTGTTTTGGATGCAGTTAGGGAATGCCATGATGCAGTGGAAGACAATAGACTGATGCAGAGTTAGAATATGAACATATCACGGATGCTGATGTATACTGGAATATCGTAGATGGAAAGTTAGTTATTTTCATGCTTAAATATCCCCATTTTCTCTTAATGATGACTTACCGTGTCTGAGGGTCTGTCGAGGGGGCAAGAGGATTGTGAACCTGAAGATCAGGGGTGGCCGGAGATCCCATGCCACCCCTTGCCTTTACCATGGTATCCATAGCAAGAGGAATCTCCTTCCTAAACGATTGTCTGATAGGTGATGCCCTCTCCAGAGTCATGGAACTCTGTGGTTGGACTGTGTGAATGTCCATCATTCGCACCTCGCCCATCCGGTGTGGGGAAGGGGGCGGGGTTTTGGAGCCTAGCATGGGTAGCTGGCCATCCGTGTACTTCCTGCTTTTCTGTCGGAAGAGCGAAGGATGGTCCGTGGGCTCCATGGGAACGCCGGGGTTACTATAAGAGCGCATGGTGGCACGGTGGTAGGCGTGGTCTACTGTATCAGGAGGCGGGGCATGGTGATGTAACATATAGGGGTCAGCATAATGACTTTCGGCTCGGGCGGGCAGCGACATGCTCTTTGCAGCTACGTCCTCATCAGGTTTGACATCACGCCGCTCGAGGATGGCGCTCGGGCAGGGGGAGGATGCGCGAGTGGGGCTGGAGGCGGGGAGTGTGTGTGCCGCTCGCTCACGTGGCATTGTGGAAACCCCACAGCCTGAGGTGCGTGGGCCGAAGGGGATACGAGATGGGGATGGGGGCATGGCATGAGGTGTGGTAGGGGACATGGAGCCCTGCATATGGGGTGGAGGGGGACCCATTGGAGGCTGCCGGAGAGGATGACCACTCGGTCCAGCATACATCATCTCCCTGTGGACCTGAATGAGAGAGAAAAAGGACATAATATTTCACATTAAAAGAGAGAAAAACGTTCAAACACAAGAAACCCAGCTGAATTAAAACAGCTTAAACTAGCCTAAACTGGTTTTCTGGTCTTAATTGGTCTTTTTTCCAAAATAAAAAAAAAGTAATATAATGTATTGAAATATGTGATGTGAACAGAAAAAAGTTCATTGCATTTGGTCACAAGGCCTGTATTTGTTAAGTGACATTAAAATAAAATACTTAATAAAATACATCTCAAAAATACTTGCTAATGTCACATTACAGTTTTTCTCAGTCGCTTTGGTGCATTTCTCAAATCAGAAATGAAATTCTCAAAACTACTTGTACAACTTCCACATCATCTAGTCATTTGTACACATCATAAAAGCAGTTTCTCATTCTTTTGAACAAGCTGCGATTGCTTTGGTACATTCATGCAATTGATTATGTACATTTATCTGCGGTTTCCTACATGATCAGTTGCTAATGTAATGTTGCTCAAAATGTATTATATAGTTTTCTGTGCAATAGTCTTACCCCTCAAAACATCTAGTCTTTAGTTCATCGTATAAGTCATTAAATGCAAAAGAGTTGAACTGGTTGTCATAAAGTGTCAAGCACATTTTTTTACACATTATAATTAGACTTTTTTGTAAATTTAGTGTGAATCTTGACTTTCACTAATGAAGAGAATTGATAAACCATTTCTCTGAAAAAGCTCAAAGGTTCATCTCATGAATCTTCAGTTGGAAAGCATATACTGTATAGACAGAGGACAACACGAGAGTTACAAATTCTAACAATGGACTTTCTTTTTTAATTAAATTTTCATCTTTGTGCCCATATTTCTTTTTCCTTTTCTATATCACAATGACATTGTAATGTGTTTTTTTTTTTGGTCAGACCACTAGTAAAAGTGTAAGTGGAATTCTATCCAGTCTCTTTCAATCAATATCCCACATACCGTAATGAGTAAATTTTTACTTTTTTAAATGGATATATGGCATGCATAAACATATGGCATACTGTTCAATACAGTAACTGTCATCCAAAATGCTGCCATAGTTTACTTTAGGTAATACTAACAAAGTGCACTGTTATATTGACAACATGACTAATCTTGTTTGTGAACAATTGCACAAGTACTTTTCATTCTGATGGCACTGATATGTTCATTGACATAAATACTTACTTTTGAGAGATGAACTAAAGATTTTGAGTAAGTTACAGGCTTTTGCAGGTAATCCAATGTGTGGTGCTGTTTGTACGAATTGTTTTGAGAAATGCACATACATTTTTGCAAATATTAAGGATGATTCGAGAAATGCACCAAAGCGACTGAGAAAAACTGTAAAATAATATATCTGACTATATATCTACATTTAGAACTATAATGTAATCTCTAAAAAAGTATTATTTATATGCTATTATAGTATTTATTAATATTCTGTGTTAGCTTTTATTTTTAATTTTGGTCATTTCAGTACTTCAACTTTTTTAATTTCAGAAAATTGACAGGGCAACATTTCTCATTTTCATTTAAGTTTTTCTGTTTTTCATCTAATATTTAGATTTTATTTCAGCTTTATTTCAATAACCAAAAATGATTTTGTAATAGTTTTAGTTTTAATTAACAATAATAACACAGACGAATACACACAGAATTGATGTCCATGTAATCTTCAATGTTCTAGTTTAGTCTAGAGAGGCTTTTCTGTTCATTCATCACAGTGAGAAAGAAGTGTTACATTTCCATCTCAAATGTGAAATGAAACGGCTGAAAGACGTCAAAGAAAGAAGCACTGAGCGATCATGGTACTGACAGTAAAACAACAACAAGAAAAACCTTCTACTTGGATCAAATAATATGTCATTGTGCTCTTTTTAAATTCAGAGCACCAGTAATCTGTGCTGGTTTTAACAGGCAGCACACATGGGCAGTCTGATCTGACCTGACCACCCAAGAAGGTCTCCCAGAGTAGATTAATCACACTAATATGCTTCAGATGGAAGCTCATATTTTGGAAAGAATGTGCAAGTAGGTGGTGGACATAGGTGGTTATGGTTCATATACATCCCACAATGTAATTAAAAGGCATAAGTGGATATAGTTTGCCTCAATCAGAGTCTGTGTCCAATAAAGCGACGCTACTGGTTTACCACAAATTAACTAGATGGATAGATAAGCTGCTGATAAACTGCCCTTTCATTCAGAAATAAGAAGCACTAAACATAACAGACAGATGCAGGGAAAAAAACAACAACAACATATGATGATTTAGACCACTTAAGAAGAATTCTTCAGTTGTATCTGCATCTGATCAGTAACTGCATCCAACAAAAAGTAAAAGAATAAACTACTGAGATTTCAAGTATGACCTGAGCAGATGAAAGATTTCCAATCAGTGAGCTTCAGAATGCAGAACTTCATACCTGAGGATACTAGACAGACAAACTCAGATGTATCCAGCTCCAAACTCAATGGGGAGCAACAGGAAAAACCATATGACTTGACAGATGAACAGAATTCAGAGAAAAACTGGTTTAGAGTGAAACTAAATGTGCTATTTTTTCGGTACGTAAAATGACAAAACAAAAAAAAAAGCATTCAGACTTTTCCATCACCTCAGGACCAATTTAATTTAGCACAAAGATTTTTTAAAAATCAGTAACTCGTTTAAAGCAGAAGTACCAAATCAAATCATATTCCATTTGAATTAGAATACACCTTAGAAGGCAGCTGCATATGAAAGCAGTAGACAGTAAAGCAGTTATTGTCTGACTACGTCTGCCTCATCCAAAAATAGAAAACCAACAAAGCAGAGACATACAGAAGAAACAGACAAGAACCTGCCTTTAAGCCAAAGAGCTTTGTAAAATAATAGAAAGACGACAAAATGATGTTCCTTGGTTCGAAGCATTGCCCTGCTTCTCTGATCATCTCAAACAATGAGAGCACTGGCTGAGGTGAGTCAGCGTTCAGGCTCCACCCAGAACAGGTGAGACTTCCAAGTCTTTATCTGCCTCAGGACACCAGCATGCTATTTGATCAAAAATACAGTGCAAACATTAATATTGTAAAATATTAGTTTAAAATAACCTTTTCTATCTTAATATATTTTAAAATCGAATTTATTAAGTTACTCCAGCCTTCAGTGTCATATGATCCTTCAGAAATTATTCTAATAATCTAATCTGGTGGCCAGCCAAGAAATATTTCTTATTATCAGTGTTTAAAACAGCTGTGCTGCCTAATATTTTTGTGGAAACTGTTATACAATTTTAGGATTCTTTGATGAATATACATATACAGATGTTACCTGAGCAACACTGTCTGAATAACATGAAAGTTCTTGCCTGCCTCAACCTCGCAGGTTCTCATCTCTTCATTTTCTCTCTGTATTACCTTAAAAGGTAGAGAATTTGCTGGAGGAAGGCTGACAAGAAACATTAAACCTGTAATAAATAAAGAAATCAAAAGATGACGGAGTGAGAACATTTGGTTTGAATTTGGCCCAAGAGAGATTAAAGAAATTCTGATGCCCCCTTTTTCCATTCCTTTTCTGCTTCTCTTGCATTCTCTTTCTTAAATAAACATCCACAAGGGCTTGTTAAAACCTACAACCAGAACATAAAAACATCTTAGATGCCGAAATGCAAAATACACTGCAGCTGGTCATTTTAGATGTTGTCTAAGTGGGCAGTTTTTGGCTTAAATGATCTGCAAATTGGACCAAACCTCATGCAGACAGTCAAAAGAGACTAGTTTGACCATACGTTCAATGGAGAGAGCTGAATTTAGCAGACTTTGTTCGTTTTTATGGGTCTGTTTCAAATTAACAGTCGTCTGTAAACTGTGGTCAGTCACGCTGCACAATAATCTGCTTGCTGTTTTAACAGACTGGCACTGAGACACACACAGCTGCATAGATGTGTGCGTGAAAGGTACGGATACACAGATTCAGATCTGGATCTGTGCAGTATTGTTACAAAAATCTCATTACATCACTTAAATTAAATTAACGGCTGGATGTTCAACACAAAGACACTTGTATTACATAAAAATACACATTCAAATGATCTTTGAATTTCAATGGTAAAAAAAAAAGTTACGGTAAGAAACTGTAAATTGGTTAAAGGAGTAGTTCACTAAAAATATTTTGAAAAATGTTGGTATCCGAACAGTTGAGGGGCACCATTGACTCCCATAGTATTTTTTTTCTCCTACTATAAACTGTTCGGATACTAAAATTTTTCAAAATCTCTTCTTTTGTGTTCAACAGAAGAAAGAAACTCATACAGGTTTGGAACAAGTGAAGGGTGAGTAAATGATGGCAGAATTTTAATTCTGGAAGTGAACTACTCCTTTAATGGTAAGTTCCCTTATGGTAAACAGCTATAATACATCTAATGTGACATTTCATGTAATCCTATAGTAAAATACTGTTAAATTTACCATTTTGGAAGTGAAAAAGAACAAGGCATCTAATAATTTACAGTGGAAAACCATAAATGGTCAAATTTTGACCAAGAATTCTCTGTGTAACACTTCACATTTGATGACAACTTATGTAGGGTTTTACGTTACATCTAATATTGCTAAATTAATGTTTATTGCATTATTTTAGAGTAATTTGTGTTCCCATGATGCCTTTTTGTATTAGTATTTTAACTATCTATATATTAGTATTTACCTCAACTTGTGGAAAAGCTATACTTGTGATTCATCATGTGGCTTTTTCTTTTTGTCAGTATATTATAAAGGTAAACAACACGTTTTTGTAATGTGGTATATTAACATTATATAAATTAATGAAATATACATTTTTACTCTGTTGCGGTTCATTCACTGTATGTTTTTGGCCTAAAGTTTCAACAGGAAGTTACGATAATGATCAAGACTCTTTCTTCCTCTCTTTGTCACAGACACACACAGAAATTGTGTGTTTGCATAGGTGCAGGGCTTATTTCATTAGCC